GTTACTCGTTAAATGTGTTGACTCGCGAGGCAATCTACGTCGAGATATTCAATTTTTTTAATTCGTAAGTCAATAGTTCATTGCACGTGTTGTATAATGTCTCGCCATCTTCTGGATGCTTTGCATGTTGCATTAGGGAGAAAGTTTCCGTTTTCGCCGCGGTGGAAACTTGGACATTGATGTTCTACATCGTCCGTGGCCTCAGATTTTTCATTCCGCGAACTTTGCGAAATTAAAAACGCATATCGTAACGATACAAAATCGGCGGCAAGCGATATACGTAATGTTTTCGATATAAACGCGCGATAAAGGAGATTTTCACACGTGACGTCAATTTGTTGAAGTTTCTATAAGCTTATGCAATAATATTCGCCGTGTCGGCAAAGAAACGTGCGGTCTGGCGTTGATCACGGTGAAAGGCGATTTCTTTCCTCGTCGCTAATGACGGTCGTGTTTCATTTATTCCCATATTTAATTGATTTAATTTTCAGCTGCGTTTTGCTATCTGATTTTCTAATTGGAGTCTATAACGAAGGACACTCGGTCCCACCGTGCGGGCAGAAATACTTTCTTGAATTGCAAATCGACATCCAGAGTTCTTAAAGATCGCCGCTCTAATCTAAATTAAAGATTTCTCCTTCGTAAGCAATTAACTTTTTACGTGTTACCGGACGCCCAAAACGAGAATCAGTCTCGTGCGATTGTAACGAAGAATTGCCAGCCGAGAATTTAGCGTGTAATTTGTCTTGGAAATTTGTTACGCCTGAAACTCGAAAATGTAATTGATATATTTATGATAATATTATTCAAAAAATGAAGTTGATACCTTCAATGGTTTCTCAGAAACCAGGTTGAATTTAAAAACATTAATAATTTATGTTGCAATATAATAAATCCAATTAATAAGTAGCTACATTTGGAAGTGGAAAGGGCATAATTATATAGTTACCAGTTGGATTTATCGTATCGTTTTGAGTTTATCATATCATGAATTATTGATACGAATCTTTTTTCAATGTGATTCATATTTTCAGCGTTGCATTTGTTACTGATTATATATTATGCTTCTTTATGCAATTCGAAAAATCGAAAAACGTTCGTTGCCGTTGCAAATAACATAAAAAAGGCTCGTACAGATCGCAGCGAGATATTTTCATCGGTCAGTTTTATTATTCGCCGGGAGTATTATTAGCCATCTACATAGTACCTGTTTATCGTGCCTTCTTTACATGTAAGAAAATGGATTTCTGCGAAATGTTTAATATTCCTGGCAGCATCCCGAGTCCAATACCGTGGATTATTTTTAATTAACGTGAATATATCATCGCAATTAATCTTGATTGACCGTCTGTTCCGCTCTTTACCTTCTTAATTAAATTCACCGCTTCTAAACTTCTTAAACCAGTTTCGAACAGTGCCTTCGTTATTCATATTATTATCGTACACATGACAATCTTCATTCCGCCATCCGATGAATTCTGCATTAATATACGGACGGGAATGAATATTTAACTTATTTATATTCGGACGAAACCGTGTGTCTCGATCATAAATGAGTCACGATCGCCGCGTCGCGCAAAGTATTCCATAAATATCAATTATTTAACAATTATTTGGTTTATAGTAATCAATCAGTTTGATACGAACGCATTCGTTAATTAGATACCATTACGGTACGCGTCGCAAATTCCCTCGACTATCCATTTATTTCGCCTCGTTCCTGAAAGTGAGCTGCTAATGATAGGCGACAGGAATAGTCCTTTTATTCGAATTTTAATTTCAAGTTAATTAATCCTTTCGTCTTCAGATTATTCGAGAGCTGCACGCAATTCAAGTTCGAATTTTTAATATCGAGGGAAGTTTTAAAGTCTCTGCTGTTCGTTGCGCTATATTTATTCGCGTATTATACGTTATTTCATACACGCGTATGCATGTATGCAGTTGCCTCGAAATAGGTAGTTCAATTTTGGCAGCGAATTGTGCTCTCCGTACCATTTTTCTCGATACGTTTCCGTTCTGTATTGTGTCACGATCCGCGCGTTATGAGTTGCTGTCCCATCCCGCTTGAAGTATTTTAAATTGCATCGAGGCTGATGCGGGACGTCATCCAATAGAGAAGACAGCGTGAATTCAAAAAAATCCCCAATACCATTTTACTATTTAAGATGTTATACGCGGAGCAGCGAGGACCGATAATACGTGTATCGAGGATTCCACGCGTTGACGCTAAATCTCATTTGGCTCTTAGTATTCTTGTACCAATGCAGAAATTCTCCGCGACCCACTTCCATATTCCCCTCTGCACGTTCCATTATCTTCAAAAATTATTCAATCAGTCACCGAAGAACCCTTTCAATACAAACTAACAAATTTACAAATCCAATCTGATCAGTTTATATTTTAGAAAAGGTCTGATATAAAACAGCCATCGACTAGAAAATTCTTATTCGTTGTTTTCTATGGTTGTTACAAAAATTGTTGCCAGTGGATCGCCAAAGAATTTCTCACGCGACTCGCCAGTGGAGCCCAGTGTTTTTCGAAAGATTTCTTTTCCATTGCGCGCGCTCGTCCCGCAGCCTTCGCGCGCGTAATAACGCTCGACGCGTTACAAAATAGCTCGGTTACGAGCGTGTTGTAAAAGAACAGGCTCCTGTCGGAGAGCACACGGCGAAGAAATTGCCAAACGAAACGCGCGGGAGTGTTCTTCGTCGTTAAAACCCGGGGCCGCGGAATCAATGTTTATTCCGCGACTGGATCGTACGGCGAAGATCTCTTGTCGCGCGTCGGCTCCGAATTTTGTCCGTGTAATTCGACCACGGTCGATCGAAATTTACGAGATCGTATAAATTTTTCTGCGATTCGATTCAAATTTCCGTCGTCGTCGTCGCGTAGGAATATTTTCTCGTTTCGGGGCCCCGGCGAGAAATTCGACGCGTTTCCGGCGCGGTTTCGGCGACGATTTCAGCGACGTTTATCGGCGAGTCGTATATTTTAATAATCAGCCACGTCGACCGCGATTATTCACGCTTACCGCCGTTTACATAATCGCGACTAAGTGTTCGCCGAGATTGCTCCGGCTGACGGTGCGCGTTGATTTATCGCCAGTTAATGACTTTCGATTCCGTATTAATTATAGGAATACGCCACGGTTCCTGTTAATAGAAGCACGCGGTGGTCGCGGGCACGATGACCGGCAACCTGTTATTATTTTCAACAATTTCGTTGCATAATCGCGCGAATGGTCGCGAGCTGTAAATCCCCGAACACTTTGTGTGTGTATCGTTTCCGCGGAGGTTCTTCCGTTTTCGGCCATAACAGTTTAATCTGGGACACGGAGGCGCTACGTCGGGCGCAATAGTGCGCCCTGTTTTCGTTTCGTTAATTGGAAACTGTAACTCGCCGCTTGTAACGATGGCAATATCTTCCTATATTTGTTTTCTTCTTTATTCGTTCAACGGTAGATAATTTTACGGTATCCGTAACATCTATGTTGTTGCGTAATATTTTCATTTGTTTCTCTTAACGTGTCGAGGTCTCTGCAAGATTCGAAAATTTCTGAGATATTGATCGTAGACTAAAATGATAATAAGAATAGTAAAATTGAAATATCACGAAATATCGGAGTAAATAAGAGTAGATGGAAACGAATTTTCTGTAGACTTTTATTGTATATTATATCATATCTTTGGTTCATTTTTAATATAAAAATCTAGGACACGAAGGAGTGTTACATTGGAATAATAGTGTGTCCTAGTTTTCGTTAATTGGACGCGACTACAAGTCAGCGTTTCCAATGGATAATATCTTACAACAGGTATTTTGTAGTCATTTAACGAAAGATGTTATATTTTATCATTTTTATCCAACGTGGATGCTAGTTTATAGAGAATAATCGAAATTGTTAATTTTATTCGGCCAATTGCGCGACTGTATCTTTGCTGATGATAGCTAAATTTATTATTATTACCGGGAACTGCAAAATTAGTGTAGGAAATTGTCATTATGCGATGAATTAAAATTATCACCCATGGTAATTTGAATTGTTTTCTACCTAATGAGTGTAATTAAACTGGGTGCACAAATTGCCATTGTACGATAAATTTCAATCATTATTTCTGGCAATTTGAACTGTTTTTCTCTTTACTCATATTTCGAGATCAGAATTTGGGTACACAGATTAAAATAAATAACTGTTACAGCCCCACGAACAGAACGATTTCGAGAGTAAAATAATTTGTTCCATTTTTATATTTTACATATTAACTCTCCGTTTCTATTGTTGTGGTCAAAGAACTTTAACGGTACCCGGTGTATTAATCGACGTTACACTTACGAAGCGAAAATAATCCGGGTTGCAACAGAGCCAAACTGCGTCATTCGCGAATCAACACGAAGTTCTAACAACGCGATATGCAAAGCACTTTAACGGCAACTTTTTTATGATCCCGAAAGCAGTGTCCTTTTGTTTGAGAACATTTCGTACGGTCGCAAAAGCATTTCTGCGTACCTCCAACGTTGGCGTGGAAAAATACACTGTTCAGCAGGTTATATCAACAAATTAGTTTCCACTTTGTTGCGTCGGTCCACGAAATTCACTCGTTGCAATCTCACAAAGAGGAGCAGTTGAAATTACCCGGTAACTTTGTTCACCTACAATTACCCGAAGCGGGCATTCCTCGAGAAGTTACTAGGAAATAGAATTATGAGATCATGTAAATATTAATTACGATAGTCTTTGAGAGTATCCGCTGTCAAATCGAATAGTTTTTTTCACGTCTTTATTACTCGTGCATTAAGATACATCGCGTAATATATAATTTCTCATTTCATTAGTACTGAAGTCGAGATCAATTTATTCGAATATTCCTGCTCCTTTGAGAAATTTATTGTGCAAAGATATTAACAAGAAATAAATGCTTTCTCGATCCTCGAAATAGGTATCGGTGGATTTTGGAAATTTGTAGCGGATGTTGAAACGTTTCTTGTTTTTTCTGTTGCAGCAAGAAGGTGGTCCAAGCGGACCGACAGGAATCCAACAGTGCGCCGGTTGCGGCGGTCAAATAGTCGAAAGATGGCTGCTGTTCGCGATGGATCGGTATTGGCACAACAGTTGCCTGAAATGCTCCTATTGCGGCGCAGCATTGGCGGAAATCGGCCACTCGTGCTACACCAGGAGCGGCATGATCCTCTGCAAAAGCGACTACAGAAGGTAGGACTTCATTAATCTTCGATAGAAACTCCTTTTACGATTGCTTCGAAATATCAAGAACATCCAGGTTCATAGTTAACGATCGAAGGATCCAGTCGGTCGAAGTCACCTTGCAGGCTGACGATTACTTAAGTCCGTACACGTCGGAATTAATCCCTAATTAACGACGATAGAGTGCTAGCTTTGTTGCTTATGAACGTTGAAATTGCACGCGCCACTTCCTGCCCATCGAGGGTCATCAAGTCGAGACTTATAGGCGCCAGGTATCAAGTAATGACCATTTCGTTCGTACAAAATGGCTGCAATTTAGGATGCTGTAACTATTACGGCGACGCTTAACCATTGATTACACGCCACTGTTCAAATATTGTTTGTAATAACTTCTTTAATTCGAGCGTGTCGCGCACCAGCGTCAACATTCCCCATCGATTTTCCACCCTCGAGTGCCGGATGACTCGTTAATTCGTTTCCTGTTTGTCGTTAATGAAATTTAAGGACACGAGTCCAAAGTAAAATTGAAGAAGTTTATGATCGAGGAAGTAAATTTAAAATAATATCTAAATTAGAGATGGATAGAGTCGAGGGCACGAAAGGAGTTGATATAACGAGTTTCTGAAAAATGTCCGCGTCCATCAATTTTCTGTCGAGATGATTGGTCGTTGGCTGGTCGAAGGCTGTTGCAAAACATTCGTGGAACGACTCTTGGACGTGCTGGTTTCTACGAATGAAATTGTACCCGTTGAGGAGCTCATTATCCAGGTGGCACGTTGACTCGTCTCTTCTTTTAAACGTCCGAGGAACTTTTTCGATCCACCGGGCGTCGCGCTGAATACACCTAATCGGCGGGGACCGTTCCAAATTTAGAAGATTCGAGGTCGAAGCGCAATTTAATGAGAAACAGACGCAGAACTTAGTTAGCATCTCTGGAAATAGATCGGCACAATCTGGCCGCGGCCGTGTGTACGGAATCTAATGGGTCTGTCCATATTTTTTTCTTCATTGACCTGTTAACTCTCCACGAAACCGACGGCTCCTTTTCATCTCTGATTAAAGCCGGGTAATATACGAGCCGGGGCCGGGAACGGCGAAAGAAAGAACGACGAAAAACCCCCGGCGAACTTTCGAACGTTCGTTTTCGTTAATGATTCTCGTATAATTCGATTAATTTACGGTTAATTGCGTCGAGAGAGCGGGATAAATCGACTCTACCTCGACCCGTCTTACCTGTTTCGGCGTTCAGGCGAAGGAGATAATGACGGAGGTGGATTAAAAAATCGTATCAGCCGCGGAATGGAAATTGGCGATTTTTATGCGCGAGATTTCGTGCGCTAGCGGGAAACCGATGGACCCAGGGCGCGGAAACGAGAGGCTCGTCGCCGTAACGCGGGAACGAAAATTCGTCGGATTTTTGTCCACGGAATGAACTAATTAAACACACCCGACAGCGAAATATTCGTGGCAGTTCAAAAGTTCAACTATGGCGGATCTTCGCGAAATGTTACGTTTCGTTTAATTAATTCCCTCGGTGCGCTGGCGCACGAGTGCTCTACAAAACGCTCGAATTTCGGATCATTTCAACCCTTAAAACAAAATTTTTATACGATGTCGTTACGGAAGCTCCAAAAAGAAAAATCACAAAGGCTTATAAAATATACTCAGCGTTTCCCAAAGTGGGAACAATTTCAAATATTTTGAATATTCAGCATTCTTTTTTACGTCACTGAAATTTCGAGGAGTGTTCGTAGGGGGTTGGGAAGCACTGGTCCGGACCTGCCGCAACGTTCTAATCCGTAAACGCAAATGGGAAGCGTTATCGCGAATAACAAAGTTGGGTCTCCCGTGGGACGTCGGCGGTTATAAGATTTTCCCGGTGCATTTGTATTCTTCGTCGACGTCGTCTTTCTCGTCGGTACGATCGACAGAACTCGTCCGCAGCACACGTACGCCCTAATCTGTTAGCACAGTCGAACGATTTAGTCTAGCGTAGTATCAATATTTGATTACGAGGCGTCTCCGTCCCGCATGCCAGAATTGGAGACAGAATCGTCCGTCCTGATGTCCAAACCGTCGGCCCGGGCTCCTTCGTATTTCCGGAAGTCGGACGTCGCGGTGGAAATCGATCCGTGCACACAGCGCGAGAAAAACGTCTCGTTAATTGCGACCAAGTTCGTTCCAACCCTCTCCTCCTCGTGTTTCGACGCAGATACACAGGCGTTGATTTGTCTGTTACTAGACACCCTAGATATTTAAACCTTATTTCCACCTTGAAACAAACAGAAACCTCCCTCGACGCTAGAACTATCAAATTTGTAATAAAAATTGTTTCAAATTTATTCAACTGGATTTTTGCAAATTTATCCAGGCCCTCTATAAGAGAGGGAATAAACATTTATTTCCCATTGCATTATACATTCCTTCAAGTATCTATTTAATTTCTTTTGTAGAAATCAATACACTATAATTGTCGGTAGTTCTAGCGTTAACGATAGTATCGTGGATTATTATACTATTGTGCTGCATTCTATTGTTCCAGTAGTATATTTTGTGAATTATTATATATAATGCACTAGAATTTGTGTAATGTTGTGTATTTTAAAATGTGAGGAAGAGAACGCGGAGAAAAGGAGAGCTGTTTATTCAAAGACGTAGGATGGAAGACCCCCCTTGAAGCGTTGTCGTTAGAGAGACCCCGTTTGACGCAGTGCCGCGAAAAATCGGTCCCCTTTGTCGGAATCAGCCGCGACAACGTAGGCGCCCCCCTCTTCTGCCCCGGGAGTGGTGGCGTTCCACCATCCTGGCGGAGAAACGTTCCCCCGAAATTTCGATCGGAAAACAAGCCGCTATCCGAATTGAGAGAAGTAGCACTCCGAACGGAGTGACGCGACAGAAGCATCGACATCAGGCTTGCGGTAGGGGTTGCTTCAAGGGGAAAACCCGAGAAAGAAGGACGGACTGGTTACGGAAAGAGAGACGGTCCCGTGCATCGGCACGGGGGTGGAAGGAGGAACGCGTATCCGGCTAGACGAGGAACCGACGATCGACCGTAGTGAATGGGGGAGTAAAGGGGCGAGAGAGAGGAAACGATCACGGAGACAGGGACGACGGCGAAAGAGAAACGCACGAGAGAAACAGACCGGGACCCTGTAGCAACGCGGTAGGGAGAGAAAAGAGACAGTAGAGAGGCAAGCAAGGGTAGGAGGTAGTGGTTCGTTTCTTTTGGATTCAAGGAATGTTTCAATCAGTTTGATTGAAGGGCTGAGCCACGGCAAGAGGGTAAACTCGATTTACAGCCGTGCAGGAGAGGGGCACGGGCTGGAGGAAGATGGGGGAGTTTGGGTAACGTGGGTATGGGAGAACGGTTGGTGCCGCGGCGGGGGCGCGGCGGTAGTTTCGGGCGGGGGGGTGGAGGTGAGGGTGGCGGGTGCCACAATCACCGAGATGCGTCCAATCACCCCCAGCCTCCAACGCCATCGGGTTTCGGGCGCACGGACGAGGGCTGAAGGGATTGAAGGTGTACGGAGGGCGAAGGGGCTGGGGTTGCGGAGTGAAGAGAGCGGCCAATCATCGCTCGGCTTTCCGCTGGAGCGACGTCGTCGTGGTGCTGGTTTGGCCTAGATGTGCAATCAGACCGTTTCAGACCATCTCTACTGTCTCTCTTTCTCTTCTCTCTCTCTCTCCCCTCTCTCTCACTCGTCGTCTCGATCTGTCCGTCCGCGTTTCTCGCTCTCGCGTTCATTCTTTCGCTTTCTCCGCCTCTGTCTCCGGCTGTTCCTCTGGCCTCCCTCCTCGCTCCGTCTTTCTGGCCGAATACCAAATTCCAGCAATTTGGTAGGTGGGTACTTTGTTGAATCAACATGATTGGGCTTGACGGAGCCCGGCGACAGGGCGCTTCGTCTGGTCGTGCCGCGATTCCGACCGCCTGGAAGACGACGTGGACGTCGGGGAACCCGCAACCCCTTCGCGGACCGACCGGTCTGCGGATCGCGGATCCATTAACCCCGTAACGTATGCAGCCGTCACAGTCGCGGCGACCAACCGGGACACCCAACGCCAGGCAGCTTCTTTCTTTAGATACCTACATTCTTGGTCTTTCTATTTCTGTTTTAAGAGTCTTCTATCGCAACACGCGTTTTTTTTTTATGTCTTTTTGGTATTTTTTTTATAAAGAAATATACAAAACCCACAGTGAGGAAAATTAACCCCTTCGTAGCTGACTCGTTATTAGTTCTTTGTGCCCAGTTTCACAGCAACGATGAAGTTTAATATATTAAAATCAACCCATTAAAGTGTGTTAAGCAAAAATTGCTTCTGATTAAATCGTACGTCAAGGGGTTGAAACACGTTACTCTTTGCTAGCTTGCATACTTGGAATACTCCTTCGAAGACTGCAGCGATGAATTTAGTATTCTGTGAAGAATACTTAGAGACACTCGAAACACTATTTTACTTAATATTCAAACTTTTCTTTAATGTATTTAAAAAATAGTGAACTAACGAAGGATTGCATAAATTTTCAAATAATTACATTGACATATATTAAACATTAATTTAAACTTGCTCCAAAAATTCACTTACGGATTAAAATGAAAAGTTCTTTACGCGACGCTGGACTATAAATGAAAAATCGATCGCCTTTCGTCGGTAAAGAGGAAAAAAATCCGTTAAGGGGTCGCTCCGCCGACAAGGGGTAAAAACGAACGTGGACACTGTGCGTGGTTTCCATCACGCCTCCGGGAAACGTCCTGCAACCAGGCTACCGCGATCGATAGCGCGCGAAATCGATGTAGAAGTACGTACAGGTGAGAATCCTGTATGTGCATCGCGATACACCTGTGCACGCGTCACGTGTAGCCGTGAAAATCATCGTAATACGGGTCGTAAAAATGTTCTGCGCTCGCCTCGAGTCTAAATATGCAGCGATCGTTGTTATTAAACGTTGGGAGCCGCGGAGTTCTCCGCTGGGATGGTCGATAGTTTCGCGCTGTAACGTGAACGATCGT